TTGAACCCCCACTCAGTGCAGGGCTCCACCCCAGCAGTTTGAAAGTGCCCGTCAAACGCCGGCTCGCTCTGTTTCTCCATCGGTGCTCCTGTGTCTATTTTATTTGTACTTTTGGTGAAAAATAAATGTAGCGAAGTTGAATACTTTAGTTTTATTTTACTCAAGTAAAAGAAAAAGTACCACAATTTAATTATACTCAAAAATTTAAAAATGTACTCAAGTATGTAATGAAAGTATTTGTAATTACACTTTCCACCTCTATGTTTTACTGTAACTTCAGCCGCTCCAAGCTCATGAACAAAAGCGCCAATCTCATTGGTCGGCCAGTTTTTAACGTGGCGCGTCAAACCAAAAAAACGAGTCCAAGGCGTTTTTTAAAAAATGACGCTTTTACGCCTGGCGTTTTGCGCGCTGGTGTGCACACTCACATTGGCAGCCTTTGTTTAGTCACGAGGCGTTAAACGTCGGCGAAAATCGTGCGTGATATTCGTCCCGGTGTGCACAAGCCTTTAGAGTGTCTTCTGGTATTTTACTTGATTGAATAAATTTTTTATGGGGAACTCACGTCTCTGACCATTTTCTCATCTGATGATGAGAAAACTTTCATGCTGATAAGTTCCTGGGGTAATAGGCCCTAGGTGACGTAGTCGACATACAAAAGTTTTTTTTTTTTTTTCCAATTGTTTGTTTGACTTTGTCTCGTTAACCTGTCCCTTGGGTCACATATGCAAGTATCTTCAAACCCTCACAAGTACTGTTTTTGATTTTAGAGTGTTTTTTCCAGCAAACGTTTGACTCCATAATTGTACTATTTGTGAGTGACAGTAATGGGGAAACAGAAATAACCAACATTCAATAAAAATATTCTGTTTAAAAAGAAATGGACTTAAGGTCCCATATTGTCAAAACTGAAATTTCCTGGCTTTTTTCATGAGAATCGCTGACCCTAGTTACCTGTGGTTGGCCTGGCCGTGCGTCACTCAGAAAACAACAGGCCAATCAGAATAGAGGCTCATGAATATTAATTAGACAGGCAAAATTCGACCTGTTCTCAGCAGAGCTCCAGAGAGAGGAGCTGTAAAAAATATATTGGAGATGGTTTTTGGTACTTATACCGGAAATATATATTCTTAAGGACATCAAGACTTAAAATAAAACTCCAGAAAGGTGTAAAATATGTGACCTTTAAGTTGTCACTTTGGACAGTCCACAATTATTATTATTATTATTTTGTGATTGATGAATCATGGTCCAGCTAGACAATTTGGCTAATGCATCTTGTGAATTATATGAATGAGCATCAAATGAACATGAAAACAGGCATGAAACGGGTATATCCAAAACCTTTTAAATGGCAGAAAAAATGGATATTAAAAAAAGCATTCCAATACCCAGGGTCTATAGTTATACCTTTGAGTGCACCAGCTGAGCAACTGTGATTGAGATAAATGGAAATGCTAAGGCAAAGCTTTTCATGTGCCAGAAGAGGGCAGAGTTGATTGCACATTGTGTAGCAAGTGGCTAGTAGCAGTTCACTTTGTGTTGGGCTGGCCCTCCCAGGTAAAAAAAGAAAAGAAATAAACATAAGTTGTACTAATATAGATGCATTTATTATGTTTTTATTATTCTATATTAAGTGCATAATAAATGTATTATTTTGGAACAACTTTAAGTATTTTAAGTGCTCTTTAAGATATGCTTAAGATGAACTTTTAGCTAATTGCAGTATATTTTAATATATTTAGTTGTGTTAAAATGGAACAACTTCAAGTATCTTTAGTGCAATTTTATTGTACTTTTTCATATGATTTAAAATATGCTTTTATATTTCTTGATGTACAGTTATAATATATTTTAAGCTTCACTTATTCACATAGCATTTCAGCTCATTACAAATGCATTGCCAGCACATTATTAGTTTGTTAAAAGCAAACTCCATTCTTTTCAGCATTCTAAAATGCTATATTAAGAAGCACAAAAAACATTAAATGAGAATGACATACACGTACACACACTTTCACATATAGAAAACGTTAATGTACTATATATTGTGTACATTACAACAATAAATTCCTTGAGTACATTTAAAAAGTACAGCTGCATATGCAAACTCTTGACCAAAATAATTGTAATAAATTATAATAAATTAAAATAAAGATCAGTGAAATGCTATAACAGAACTAATTCAATCAATTTGTAGAACATTTGTTATATTACTGGAAAGTACACTATGAATATTCTATCACTGAATAAAAATGCATAATGCAATTTTATACACACACACACATATAAAAAAGTTACTGAAAAACAAAGTGCAGAAGTGAATAAAGTGCTTTTTTTAAAGTAAAGCAAATGACTAAACTGAACAAAGAAACAGAACATTTCAAATGTCACCATCGTCATCAAGTGGAGGATCACTTTTCTGTGAGTACGATTTGTTACATTTTCTGCATCAGCGGGCTTGCAATTCAGACACTGTAGTCTTTGAAAACTGCTTCATCACAGGGTCTGTGAAAGGAAAAATAATGAATCAATGGTTTTGAGTGGTATTTTTGAATCTCATATGTATTATAATTTGCATAGATATGCATAGAATTTCTTTGGGGCTGTTTACACCTGGTCACTTCATGCGTTTTCTCTGGTGTAAACAGGCCCTTTGACTGTTCTCAGTTTACCTTTCAAAGCTTGGACCAAATCCACATCAAGCTTGACATGAGCATCCATTTTATCCTCTTAACTGTCGTCACCATACAATACTCTGTGTTACATTGACCATAAGGTTAAAGAGGCCCAACATCTCTACAACAGAAGTGCTGAAACCAGAGTTAGCATGACACTCAGAGCTCCAATAGTCACTTTATTAGGAAATATGTCAGCCAGAATTAAAGGGATAGATCACTCAAAAATTAAAATTCTGTCATTAATTACTCACCCTCGTTCCAAACCCATAAGATCTTTGTTCATCTTCGGAACACAAATTAAGATATTTTTGATGGAATCCGAGAACTCTCTGACCCTCCATAGACAGCAAGGTAACTACCACAGTCAAGGCACAGAAATGTAGTAAGAACATCGACAAAATGGTCCATGTGACATCAGTGGTTCAACCATAATTTTACAAAGCTACGAGAATACTTTTTGTGTGCAAAGAAAACAAAAATAGCAACTTACGATGCTAACACGACGCATGCTATAAATTATTCTTTCTGCCAAATGGACAATGTTTTTATAGTTGTTATATGACAGACAAATGCCACTACCTAGACTTTAAGCAACCATATACCCAGTGCATATAGTTGCTAGATAACTAGCTACTACGTGTCAGTGTCGTGTTACAGGTGTTACATCGTCTAATGTTAGCATTCCACATGTTAGCTAACATTTGCAAATGCACACCAGCACTATCAACTTAGCAAAAACTCAGAAGTGAACTGAAAGTTAGTTAAACAAATAGCTAGTAAAAACTTACCTCCGAGGAGCAGTGTTTCCACGATCAGTATCTTCATCTATACGTGCTTGCTTTGACTTGGGAGCTGACCTGGTTTTCTAGTCAGGAAAATAAAATTAAGCGAAACTGGGATGATTTCTGCAGAAAAAGTGTTACCATCTCAAAAACATACAGCCGTGTGATTGGACCATTACCTGCAAAGCCGATTTAAAAAGTTCGGCTCTGATTGGTCAAATTGAATGTAGCTACTGCACTTAAAAAAAGCTTTTGACTGGCAATGACAAGTAACAGAAATTAAATACTTACTTAGAGTCGCAAAATAATGAGGTTCCAAATCTACACACATAGAAGCTTTAAGAAGCTGGGAAAAAATAAAGATGTAACAATGAATGTTCTATTTAACGCTAGATAACTAGCTACTACGTGTCAGTGTCGTGTTACAGGTGTTACATCGTCTAATGTTAGCATTCCACATGTTAGCTAACATTTGCAAATGCACACCAGCACTGTCAACTTAGCAAAAACTCAGAAGTGAACTGAAAGTTAGTTAAACAAATAGCTAGTAAAAACTTACCTCCGAGGAGCAGTGTTTACGATCAGTATCTTCATCTATACGTGCTTGCTTTGACTTGGGAGCTGACCTGGTTTTCTAGTCAGGAAAATAAAATTAAGCGAAACTGGGATGATTTCTGCAGAAAAAGTGTTACCATCTCAAAAACATACAGCCGTGTGATTGGACCATTACCTGCAAAGCCGATTTAAAAAGTTCGGCTCTGATTGGTCAAATTGAATGTAGCTACTGCACTTAAAAAAAGCTTTTGACTGGCAATGACAAGTAACAGAAATTAAATACTTACTTAGAGTCGCAAAATAATGAGGTTCCAAATCTACACACATAGAAGCTTTAAGAAGCTGGGAAAAAATAAAGATGTAACAATGAATGTTCTATTTAACTAAACAGTTCACTCAAAAATTAAAACCGTAAATACACTAAATGTCACAAAAGTATGCTTGTGTTTTAGCATATTTCTTAAAAGCGCAACTAAGCATATATTTATTACCAAAGTACTTCTAGTATACTTTTTAAAAATACATTAAAATGCAATTCAGTACACTTTTAACACACTTAGAAGTAAGCATGTTAGGAATACAACTGTACTATAAATATATCTGAATTTCAAGTACATTTTTAATACATTTAAGAGTACTTCTTTTTCACCTGGACTAACTTGTAAATTAAGTGATCTTTCAACATTTGTCTAGCTTTGATGCTTGCTGACGTTTTTTTGCTCCATGCTTGCAGTTGCATAATTATCACAAAATCTTTTTAAAGTCGTTTTTCTTTGTTTTTGTGCTCTCCACAAAGCTTTCTGCAATTATCCCTCACTCACTTGTTTTCTTCTCGCATCTACTTTAGCCCCAGGCAAATTAAAGTCTACAAAAGGGGAGATCATTCAACCCTTCTTTCTTTGCTGGGAAAGTGTGACTCTGCACTAAGTCTCCCACACTCTGTTTTTTCAGTCTGTGTGTGTGTAAAGTCATGGAATTGATTATGTGGTTGTGGGTGATGGGATTTATTGTAGAGATGGTCAGTGTTTGTGGTGCAGGCCTGTCCTGTGGTCTGCAGGCCAGATTTGTTTCAGAAAGTCTGTATAAAGAGGGAGATGTGATCATTGGTGGTCTATTTCCAGTTCATGTTGAAGCACCAGAGCCTTATCATGCTTTTACTCAAATAAAGCATATTTCTCGCTGCCAGGGGTGAGTATTTAATATTAACTTAAAGACAAGATAACTGTTTAATGTGAAAATGGTCTCTCTAGAGGGTTTTTGTTGACTGTAATTCAGCACAACCTTAACTGACCCTGATATTCTACTCAGCCTAAAATAATAATATATTGTTTTATTGTATATATTTCAACATATTAGAATTATCACATAAGAATAAAAAAAAAAATCTGCTATATAGTCATTCAGTTATTCCTCAAATTAACAAAACTTTACATTTTACATTTTGTTTCAGTGTTAACCTTCGCTCATACCGCTGGCTCAAAACTATGATCTTCACAGTGGAGGAGATTAATCGGGATCCTGTCCTGCTTCCAAACATTACTCTGGGGTACCTGGTAGCTGACACTTGCCTAGCTGAGGGCACAACACTGAGTGCTGCTTTAGCTCTGGTAACAGGGCAGGAGGGGACAGTGTCGGGAGCAGAATGCAGCGGGGCACCAATGGTGCCTGTCATTATTGGTGACGCTCGTTCCTCTGCCTCAATAGTGGTGGCTGACACGCTCGGAGTGTTTGATATCCCCATGGTATAATAAATTATTTATTTATTTTTTGGATGTCACATTTAAAAATAACTTACTGTGACTTTTAAAAAGTGTTATTCATCAGTGTGTTATACTTTTAAAGATCATTATGTTCCATTGACATCCATAAAAGCTTTCCTAGTATTCACTTTACATTTGTAAGTACATTTTCTAAAATTTCCTAAACTGGAATATCCATATACAGTACATCACTGATAAAATTCACTTAAAATGCATATTTAAAGACTAGAGTTGTCTTGAATTTCATAATAATCTCTCCAGTAACATAAAAGGTTTACATGTATATTGAAACTAAGCATTCCTCTAAAGCTCTTAGGCTACAATGAAAACAAAAAACAAAAACAAAACATTTTTAAGTATAATAATTCTATTATCTATTATTTACTGAACTGGATTCGTTGTGTGAATAACATTAAAAATTATACCATTGTTGCTACATTGTTGACAATGACAGTGTGTGACAGTGATCCAGTCAGAGCGAATCTCCAGTTAACAGTTCTGTGAATTCACAAGTCTGACTAAAAATGAGCCAAGAATGTGAGGTCTTTGGAGCTTGAGTGTGCCGCATGACTGATGGAGCGAAGAGTAGGTTACTAATGCCGAATTTTAGAATTTGTTATTATAAATGAAAATCAAATTTAGGTCACGACTGCCTGTTGTTTGTGAACTAAAGCTGCTGTAAATGGGCTCTTTAAGCCTTCTGTATGAAATGCTTGAATGTAGACATGTTCACATTTGTGTATTATCATCTGAAGGGGGAAGTTCTTTTTTTATAATTACATTAAAATAACGCAAATGAATGCCCATACATCTACCCTGCTGCCGTTGCAGTTTCAAATGATGTAAAACTAGTATTGCATAGAGTTCTTCTACATTAAAAATCAAGTACTTTTGTACTTTTACCCAAGTTAAGTTGAAAAGGAGTGCTTAATATTTTTACTGGAGTAATATTTTGTTAGGGTATTTGTATTTTTACTCAAGTACTTGATTTGTGTACTTTGACATGCTGAAATTGTTGCTCTGATACATTTTAGAGAGTAAGCAACTGTTATTTACTGTAGTTTATCCAATGTTTATTGAAAACTTTTTGTATTAAGTTAAATGTTTAAATAATTGTAGTAAGCATAACATTTCTAAGCATAAACTATTTGGTGCATTTTTTACATTGTTTTTATCTAGATTTTGATCTGTGTTTTGTCTGTCCAGGTGAGTTATTTTGCATCCTGTGCTTGTCTCAGTGACAGTCGCAGATTTCACTCTTTCCTGCGCACTGTTCCCAGTGATGCTTTCCAGGCCAAGGCCATGGCCCGTCTGCTGCACCTGCTGGACTGGACCTGGGTGGGGGTGGTCGCAGGAGATGATGAATATGGTAAAAGTGGCGTGCAGCTTCTCTTGAAAGAACTGGAAAATACACAAATCTGTGTGGACTACCTGGAATTCATTCCAAAATCACACTCACAAAGCAGGATCAGGCGAACTGTGGAGAGGATCCAGAGTTCCACAGCTCGTGTTGTGGTAACATTTGCCATTGCCCCTGATATAGGTGTCCTGTTAAAGGAAGTGGTGGTGCAGAATGTGACCAACAGGCAGTGGATAGCCACAGAGGCCTGGAGCACCTCTATTCTGTTCTTTGACCCAGCAAGCAGTTCTCTCCTAGCCGGTACCATTGGCTTTGCTATGCGTCGGGCTGATATTCAGGGTCTTGGTGCTTTTCTTGCCCAGCTGAGCCCTGCGAAGCAGCCAAATGAACCGTTTGTAAAAGATGTTTGGAAAGAACTTTTTGGGTGCTCGCTGGCACAAGACTGGCAGCCTTCATCTAAAACTCCAAAGTGCACAGGCTCAGAGAATGTGGAGAAACATGGCCGCATCTACACAGATGTTTCACAGCTGAGAGTCACTTACAATGTGTATAAGGCTGTGTATGCTATTGCCAATGCTATTCACAACATGATGGCCTGTCAGCCTGGTAGAGGGCCGTTTGAAAATGGAGAATGTCCTGATGTGACCCAAATAAATCCCAGACAGGTACAGACCTCCTGTCTTTAAAAAAAATAATAATAATTGAATTAATTTAAAATAATGTTTTATGTAAGCAAAACTTCAAATAATTAATTTAGTTACTACATATGATCCTCTGCCCTCTGTTTTCCTTTTACAGCTTCTGCACTACTTAAATGCAGTAAACTTCACAACACCAGTGGGTGAGCTGGTTTATTTTGAAGGTAACCGTGAGCCATCTGCCTCTTATGACATTATGAACTGGCATGTAGATGAAAGCGGAGCAGTGAATTTCGTCCAGGTTGGACAATTTGATGCAGCCAAAGGTCCAGGCCAGGAGTTGAACATAAACCTTGAGAAAGTGGTTTGGGGAGGGGGCTGGGCTGACAAGGTAAGAGTCCAGTGACTTCCAGTGCTTTATTATATCAGTTCAAATGTTCTTGTCAAAAATGAAATACACACTGTATATATCTATCGATCTATCTATATCTAATTACTGTTTAAAAACAAATAAGTAAAAAAATGTTTTGTACAACTGAAATAAATGGAAGCGAATGACACCAGATGCCTCACATATTTAAGTTACAAATGGGCGCACATGAACTTGAGCGAAAAAAATGGAAAAGTGGAAAAAAAACAAGCAAAATCGCTACTTCCTCATAGAATCAGGGTCTGCTGTAGATCGATCCTAATATTCTATTATTGTATTACTTTTATTCATATATGTTATTCTCTTATTGTATTACTGAGAAACAAAGCAGTAGGCGAGACACAATGTTAACCCTAATGTCAGTGTGTGGTGTTATTTGCTTTAGTTTTAATCTTTTTTTCTTTACAGTGCGTGAAAATATGAATGTATGAGTTTGTGTGTAAATGTTTGTTATCAAGTGCATTCAAAGGGTACAAGTACTGTAAGTGTGCAGGTGAAAGCATCCATTATCTAACCTCTCAGTGTGGTTCAGATACAATCGTTTAATAATGGACTAACCCCTGCTGAGGGGGGAAAGATATGGCATGAGAAAGAATACGATTGTGTGCACAAGAGTTATCTTTTTTATTTTATTTAATTTTTTATAGAAAAAGAATAATGCATTTGTGTAAGGCAAGAATCATATTCTTTCTGTTCTTCTTTATGTGCTTGTGCCAACAGATATTGTGTTGTTAGAAGGCTGCTGTGATTCTGATGGAGTTTCTTTTTCTAACATTCAGGTTCCTGTATCTGTGTGCAGTGCAAGCTGCCTTCCAGGCACTAGAAAGGCTGCACAAAAAGGAAAACCTGTCTGCTGTTTTGACTGCCTATCTTGTGCAGCAGGGGAAGTCAGTAACATGACAGGTATTAACTTTTTAACCTTAAAAGACATCAGCCATAACAAAAGCAGTGCAAGTCCCATTAAAAGATCTGTACAATGTAAAACCAACCCTAACTATGAGTCATAACATTCTTTAGACTCTACAGAGTGTGTGAGATGTCCTGAGAGGTTCTGGTCAAACATTGAAAGAACAAGGTGCATCCCAAAGGTTGTGGAGTTTCTGTCTTTGCAAGATACAATGGGAATTGTCCTGACAGTCTTATCCGTCACTGGGGCGACACTAACCACAACTGTTCTGGCAGCCTTTTTCCATTATCGTGACACACCCCTTGTACGGGCCAACAACTCAGAGCTGAGCTTCCTACTATTGGTGTCACTCACCCTCTGCTTCTTGTGTGCGCTGGTTTTTATTGGCCGCCCTGCGCCGTGGAACTGCATGCTACGTCACACCGTGTTTGGAGTGAGCTTTGTGATCTGCATCGCTTGCGTCCTCAGTAAAACTGTGGTGGTGCTGGTGGCTTTTCAGGCCACTCTGCCTGGATCAAATCTGATGCAGTACTTTGGGCCCATCCAGCAGAGGGCAGGCATCTTCCTTTGCACACTGGTTCAGGTTGTGATATGTTTACTGTGGCTGCTGCTGGCTCCTCCTCTGCCCACAGAGAATGCAGGAGGTGAGCTTGGTGCTCGAGTGATCCTGCAGTGCACGGTGGGATCTGTTGTGGGGTTTGTACTAGTGCTGGGCTACATCGGTCTGTTAGCAGTGGTCTGCTTCCTGCTGGCCTTCTTTGCGCGAAAGCTTCCAGACAATTTCAATGAGGCAAAATTCATTACTTTCAGCATGTTGATCTTCTGTGCTGTGTGGATTGCATTTGTGCCAGCGTATGTCAGCTCACCGGGGAAGTACACGGTAGCTGTGGAGATTTTTGCTATTTTGGCTTCCAGTTATGGCCTGTTGCTGTGTATATTCACCCCAAAATGTTATATAATTCTGCTTAAACCTGAGAAAAATACAAAAAAGAACATGATGCCCAGATAATGTGTACAAAAGAAAGGCTTTTGTGATGAGCCATTTTCATAATAGCATTATCTATAAATATGTACAAACTACAAACAAATTATGCTGTATTAATCAGTTTGTGATGATATAAGCATAGATTTCGTGCTGGGTTCCCACTAAAGTTTTTTTTTTTTTGTATTATGTTTATGTATGTACTCTAAGTCATCATTATGAAATAAATACAATTTTAAAAAATACATTTTGATTTCTCAAATTGTGATTTCCAAGTAGTACCCCTGGATCCTCATTGTGTGTGAAGAGAAGAAGAAAAAGAAAACAGCAATGTGAACAGTGGCATGAACTCTTCAATAATTCAGCCCATATGTCAAAAACAGAACAAACAAACATCTTTTGGTAACACTTTACTTGAAGGGGTGTGCATAAGACTGACATGACACCTTCATAATCATGACATGACACATGTCATGAATATGAAAGAGGGTTTATGCATGTTTATGACAACTGTCATTAAGTGTCATTCGCTTAGTTATGTCATTTTTAATGCAAATATGACATTATTTGACCTAACCCTACCCCTACCCTTACCCCTAACCATAGCCCATAACAAAGACATCTCAAACAATGTCATCTTTGCATTAAAAATTACATAACTGAGCGAATGACACTTAATGACAGTTGTCATAAACATGCATAAAAAACCTTCATATTCATGTCATGTCATGATTACGAAGGTGTCATGTCAGTCTTATGCACACCCCTTCAAGTAAAGTGTAACCCATCTTTTTTCAGTTTTCCATAAGTGGCATGAACTAACTACCTCTGCAGTGGACTCCACAGAGCTGCCTTTCAAACACACTACAGAGAGAGAAAGCTGGGTTATCAGGTGTCACTTTGGCCATAGTTATTAGCCACAATGTCAAGCTGATTAACTGAAAATGGTTTGAATATATGTTTCACAAACAAATCAAACAAATGTGTTTGTAGAGGGGTAGGGTTATTTCTGTTGTACAGTACGTGCTGAATTAAGTGATAACGCATTGTTCCAGGTCAAAATAAACATGGATTGACACAAACATTTAGCAGTTTAAACATGTAACAAAAGTCTGTTGTTTCAGCCACCATTCAGCATTATGTAAAGACAGGAGCAAAATGTATTTTCAAACAGTACATACACATGTATTACATATATAATATATATATTAAATGTGCCTATTAATTTGTCTATTTGAAGTGATTCATTGAGAAATTCGATGTTGTGACAGCCTCCTCTGTTATTGCTGTTTTGCAGTATTTGCATTCTGCATAGTGCTTCTTTTTATTTGATTTCTTGACAGGAGGAATTATAAAAAAAAGTATAAACAAATCTTAATGTTTTCACATACAAATACTAAATGAACATGCATACTGCAATGTAATGTGCACTGGTTTTCTTTGTAATGAAATTGTAATTTTTGCTTTTGTTCAACTCTTGCAGCTGCAGTCATGAAATGGGACAAAGAAGCTACAGAGGCTACAATAAATCATCATGCAGCAGAACATCTCAAGCATGCACCAGGGAGGAAGGGAGGTGGAGGGCATACAGGGGTGGAAAATAACTGAGGACTTTTGCATGAGTACTGTAAGGCATTTGTGTTTATTTCCAGTTTAGGGGACTTTATACCCCCTCCCCCTAGTCATTTCAGACCAAATGTCTAGTCTTGTGGGATTTTATTTTATTTTATTTTATTTTTTTGTTCACTTGAGAGTTAAAATTTAATTATTAGAATTTAGTTTCATCAGCTTGTTAATATTTTGCTGAAAAACTCATTAAAGATGGTTAAAAAGTAATCTCTTGTCATTTCAAAAAAAAAAAATCATTTTATAATAGATCAGATCACGTATTTCCAATACTAAAATGTCTTTGCACACCTATATGTATTGGACCGGTACAACTAAGGGGATAGGTATTCATTTATTATTTACAATTTTAAAGCAGTACTTCTGCACACTGCCTTTACTATGACTAGTATGAGTGTTATCGAATACCATGTGGTCATGCAAACTTGGAGCCAACCTGATGGTGACATGTTCATGGTGTTCAATAAAGGGACGTGACATGACATGACATGTGGCCAAGTATGGTGACCCATACTCGGAATTAGTGCTCTGCATTTACCCATCCAAAGTGGACACACACAGCAGTGAACACACACACACCGTGAACACACACCCAGAGCAGTGGGCAGCCATTTATGCTGTGGCGCCCGGGGAGCAGTTGGGGGTTTGCTCAAGGGCACCTCAGTCATGGTATTGAAGGTGGGAGAGAGCGCTGTACATTCACTCCCCCCACCTACAATCCCTGCCGGTACGAGATTGTAGGTTATGAATCCGACTCTCTAACCATTAGGCCACGACTTCCCCTAGCTAAATAAATAAAGCTCATAGTAAGACAAGATTGAACTCTGGCCTCATTAACAATTAAAATAGTTCAGTTGGTTTCAATTGAGTGCAACAGGGATGTCTGAAATTAGTCAAATTAAACATAATAAAAACTTGTATGAACTTCTGTATGTGACGTTGAATTTTTTTTTTATTGACTTAAAAACTTTAATTTAGAACCCTGTAATGATGTGGCTTGGACATCAATAAAAACATTTAAAAGACATCTTTTAACCTTCACTATTTATGTCACTTGGACGTTAATACTGAATGCTAAAAATACGTCTAAAAAAGACGTCGCAAAAACTTTCATTCTGGCTCCTCAGTGGACGTCTTCTGAATGTACGACAAAGACGTTAAATTGACGTCTTTTGGACGTGTCTTTGCTCAGTGGGTTATTCCAGAGTTTGGGCGCTAAATAGGAAAAGGATCTGCTGCCCGCAGTTGATTTTGATATTCTAGGTATCATCAAATTGCTAGAGTTTTGAGAATGCAGCGGACGTGGAGGACTATAATGTAACAAGAGCTCGTTCAAATACTGAGGTGCTAAACCATTCAGGGGTTTATAAGTAATAAGCAAGATTTTAAAATCTATACTATGTTTAACAGGTAGTCAGTGGAGTGTTGACAGAACCGGGCTAATATGGTCATACTTCCTGGTTCTAGTAAGAACTCTAGCTGCTGCATTTTGGACCAGCTGGAGTTTGTTTATTAAGCGTGCAGAACAACCACCCAATAAAGCATTACAATAATCTAACCTTGAGGTCATAAACGCATGTATAACACAACCGTGGCTACCAATAATTTCTCCATCAATAAATTTATTTTTGTTGTTGTTGATCTATCAGCTCTGTGTCTGCTTTGATTATTTCTTCATTGGGGAAATCTAAGCTGCACAGATTATTCAGAAAACAGACAAATTTCCTAAAATACATTCAAACTAGGGCTGCACGATATATCGAAATTATCGAAATATTGCAAATGTAAATATCGCAATATGCATATCGCAAGGGTGTGCAATATCTGGTTGAAAGAGTAACAATGCAGCAAATATGTTTCCTATGTGCTTTAGATAAGTCAGGTATTTGTGGTATCTGTCACAACACGGTGCCTAGGAAGAACAAGGCAAGTGACGCAAAGTACATTTAAAAATAACATTAAAGAAGCATTCTAAGGTTAAACATGTTTCTCCAGTCTCCAGTGGTTTTTTGATTTTTTTTGACACCAGATCCAACTGTGTAATTAGTTGGGGAGTAAAAGTAAAAATTAAAAAAATATTTGACCCAACCATTTTTCATGCAAATGATCTTTCTAGGAAAAATGCTCAACCTGTTTAGTAAATATCCATAACAAATGTCTACCTGGGAATCAAGAGGATGCCAAGTGTCTGTTTTGCCAAGGTAGATCATTTTGGAATAAATGACCCTTGTGCCTATAATAAACCTTCTAATATTGCATAGTTTAATAAGGCTTTTTACATTTTGAGAGGCTAATAGACTATTATTAAATTTCACTAATAGATTGTCTGTTCATTTTAAAATTATTTCTAAATACATGAATTCTGTTAGAAGACAGTTCAGAAGAAGGTAACAGAAACAAAGAAACGGAGGGACAAGACAGTTCAGAAGAAGGTAACAGAAACAAAGAAACGGAGGGACAAGACAGTTCAGAAGAAGGTAACAGAAACAAAGAAACGGAGGGACAAGACAGTTCAGAAGAAGGTAACAGAAACAAAGAAACGGAGGGACAAGACAGTTCAGAAGAAGGTAACAGAAACAAAGAAACGGAGGGACAAGACAGTTCAGAAGAAAGTAACAGAAATGCAGGAATTTGGGGTGAAAGCAGCTCAGGACACAACCAAGATCAGACAGGTAAAGTTTTGCAGCTGCTCTATAATGGCTTCAACCTCTGGTAGGTTTTAGCCATTGTAAAGAAATAATGTTATTCACTGTTAACCTGTCAGTGGTTTTAATGTTACGGCTGAACAGTGTGATCTGTTTGTCTAGTAAAGAATCAGTTGACACTGATATAAATGCTATAAATATTGCATTAATAAAGGAAACCAGAATGAAGACATTTTATGCTGCTGTAGATGAGTCTATGAAAAGCACTATTTATCAATAGACAGTAATTCATTTTAATCTAAATTAATGCATGCTATGCCTCTCCCATTGGTACTGTTACTTTTCCTTTCCAACTTTTCCAGGGGGATTCCTGGTGGAAAGTGCTTTAAAAGTGTCAGACTTTCACCAAGCAAAAAGGTAAGGACAATTTTGCTTTAAATGGGTTTTTAATTATAGCAAATTATGCTCTAGATCAGTCCCATTTATTTGAAAAAGCATGTTAATAAATTATCTTATTGCCATGGTTCAAACCCTTCTTTCTTTTGTATTCTTGTGCATCTAAAGAGGATTTTTTAAAAGATAAAGCACCTCCACCTTTTCAAGATCATTATAACATACATAACACATTGATATTTCAGATACCTAGTCACATTAGATGAGCTACAGAGAAGATGCTCTCTGCCGGAGAGCTACTCTGCAAACACTATAGTGGCTTATCTTCGGATGGCCAAGGGACAAAAACAGAAAATTGTAGAGAAGTTGGAGGAGTTGGAGGTGAAGTTAACCTCACAGTGCTCCAAACTTTGTGAAGGTAATAATATAGTAGTAGTAATAACTTTAAAGGGAATTCTGAGACCAGTATTATTGTTTTGTGGTTTTGAATCATAAAATTCTTATTATAGTAAGGTTTTATATAACAATATAATTTCAACTGCATTTACACATTATTTGTAACTGTATTGTTATACATTTACTATGTATAAACCATGGTAAGCAGAAAATAATTTTGGCATGCACAAGACATTGAACCTTGAGGTGGATGGGCTATAACAGCAGCCAAGAACAATAATCTGCAGATTAGATGGGTACAGACTCAGTGGACAGTTGAAGACTGAAAAAGATTATTTTTTTTCTAATCTTCAACTGTCCAGTTTCTGTTAGTCTATGTCCATGATAGCCTAAAATTAGGCATTTCCACCTAAATAGCTGTTGATATTTTCAATTGCAGGAAGACCATGAACGCTTTACAAGATGCTTTAGAGAGTAATTGGGAAACATTTGACCTGGCAACACATGGTCTTGGTCCTGCTGTTATAAAGGGCACTTTTGCATTAGTTGATGCATGTCTTAAGGAAAAGATGAGAGCACTGAAATCAAAAGTCTCCACAGACGAGTAAGGTTTTACCCCACTTTATTTAGTACTTCCATTGTTTCAAATGCTTGTTTCTTGTTGATGTTCACTGTTCAGCAGTACAAAAAATAAAATAAAACAAAACGTTACAAAGACATTTATTTTTACAAGATTCTTGAAACCTCACTACACATACTAGCCTGTTTATGATGCTTTTTAAGGGACTCAATACAATGAGCAATTAGAAACAAGTAATTTATATTCTGATTCCATTGTCATATCAGATGTTTTGCATCTTATGCAATTTATGAATGGCAGATTCCAGAGAAATTTAATTGCAAACATTTTTAGTGTTTAATAAACACTACCATATGGTTGTATTGCAAATTATTTTAGATTTTTCCCCCTTTTCCTTCTGTTTTTCGTTTACAAATGTAATTCATTGTGAGTACACGTTTTGCCTTTTTTACCTGTTGCCGATAGGCATGCAGTGCAGTTATTTTTCTTTTTCTTGACCGAATACTGAAGTTTGAAAAAACTAGTCTGTGTGCCCTCTCTACCATCTTGTACAGCTCCTTGTTTTCAATGTACGTTTCTGATTGGCTCCATTCTATAAGGTCTGTAACATGGCCTGAAGTTCAGGTTTTGGCTTTCTGTTGGGTGTTTTCTGGCAATCTGGATGATTCTAGATTAACTCAGAAGGTGTCAGTGGAACGTAGAGGATGTTGTGAACCAAAATACAGACACATTTTTGGTTATGACTATTTGCCATGCATGTACAAAAATTTGGGCTTTTGTGATTTATAGTTGCGGCACTTCCATCACTGTGAAAGACAGTGAGGTTTTCATCATCTGTAATATACGAATGACATTCTGAGAAAATGTTAATTGCTGCAGTCTATTTAAAAATATTTTATTATATTTTATTTAATTATTCACTCACACACACTTTTTTTTTTATTGTTTTGAATAAATGATTCAAATATATTTTTAAGTCACTTTTCGCCACTTGCTGGTGCAACAATCTAGTTGATAATCTTTATTTGTCAAGTTACTTTCTAAAGGTGATTTACTCTATTTTGCTACCGTAGACATCAGTGTTTATATCTGAACTACAAACTTTTATCTCAGTACTTCTGTAGTAATTTGAATTATTGTAACAGAAATAATGATACTGTGGTTGAAAAGACAGCTGCTCTCTTTCTAAAAAAAATTCAGGGGACCCATTACCCAAACTTAAATTCATGGCTGTTCAAAATTCTAATTTATTGTTAGAATTGTTAAATTCAACCTTTTAAGTTGCAAACATTATTTTGTTGAATTCTTAATCTTAATAGAACTATCTTGATAACTTTGTAAACTTAATTTTTTGAGAAATCTGACTTTAAACGTTGTGTTTATGCTACAATTTAAGCTTCTCTAACTCAATGTAGTTTGTTGGTTGAACCTAAGTTCATTTGAAGTTGTCATAACATAAAAATTTATGCAAACAGTTGGGTTAACACATGGGTCAGCGGCAGCGCCCATGCAGATTTGAATGTTCACTGTGATCATACATGTTAAAGGTTTTATAATCATAGCCAAATCATTGTCATTTAGGAATAGGATCGCATGGGTGTTTGAATCAAGATCACAATCTTTTAACGATTAATAGTCCAGCACTAGCTCATACTAATGTTTTTAAGGTATTTGTGAATTATTGGCAATAATCATACAAGTAAATAAATAAACAATATATATTACAAAGTATTTCTAATATACTATACTTAGAAATAATGAATTTGCTATGTGAACTGTTCTGTCATCTACCTGCAGCACGTGAAACCAGCAAACGAGGACCTTTGTTGAAGGAAAAATCTGCCTTATGGCATTGAGCTCTTTCTGGTCCCTGTCAATCATGACTGACCTATACAGAAAAAGGAAAACACATGAAATTCATGATTTTAACAGGTTTTTGTTCGACAAGTCACAACATGGAGAATTGAAGGGCTCCTTTCTTAGTCCCAAAGGGTACTGACCGGGAAAGAAAGCCATGATTACAGCTAGAAAGCTTTTCCAGGCAGAGAGTGAGTGTGGCTGGTGATTCCTGACTTATAATGAAGTATGCAAATGGAACTCCTCTTCCAATACTATTGCTCAGAAGAAGTGCATAAAATGCATAGCCATATGAGGTCATCCCTTTGTAGGTGGCATCCATGAACATCATGGGATGTGGATGTTCCTTAAGTAGTTGTTTTTACCAGGGTGTCTGTACTACAATTATCAAGGGTTGTTCATCACTTAATGGCTGATAAAAACAAATGTTCTCCTTTAGCTCTGATGTGGCGAGTATATCCACACTGACACAATCTTTTACATCAGGAAAAATTAGGGCATTGATGCTCTTTTTGATGATTCCCCAGCATCCTTGATTATCTTGAAAGACACATAAGCCCTGCAAGAGTTAGCCCTGGTTTGAGTTGGTTTACCTTTGCTACTTCCAGTTGGCTTGTTTGATCTCTCACATGCATAGTAGTAGTAGTCCTTGTGAGTGCATACAGGCGATTTAAAATAGCTGTAAGTTTCCTCTTCCAATTTCATGATATAAGATTGCATGAAGTTCTCCTCCTCAAAAACAACGACTTCTTGGATGACCTCAGGATCTGTAACCTTCTTCAGCTTTCGTTTAACACCTTCAATCCAAATGTTCTCCATTTTCTTTCTAAAAAGAGGGGGGGGGGGGATTAGGAGAGTATTCAAAGTCATATTCAGAAAACAATAGTTCTTTTGTCAAAAAATAAAAAATTATAACCTTTGACAGAGTTTACTAATGACCAAATAAGTTTATCCTTCTAGAAGTAGAACACCAACAGTGCTGTTTTATTAGTGTCAGCATTATGCTACACCTTCTGCAAGAGCAGCATTTAGTACACTAAAAATAACACAGTGACATGGACCTATTGAATAGTCCTGCCCTGAGAGCAGAATATAGTAGACTAAAAATAACAGCGATAAGAAACTATTGAATAGTCCTGCCCTGAGAGCAGCATATAGTAGACTGAACATAACAGCGATATGAAACTATTGAACGCTCCTGCCCTGAGAGCAGCATATAGTACACTAAAAATAACAGCGATATGAAACTATTGAATACTCCTGCCCTGAGAGCAGAATATAGTAGACTAAAAATAACAGCGATATGAAACTATTGAATACTCCTGCCCTGAGAGCAGAATATAGTAGACTAAAAATAACAGCGATATGAAACTATTGAATACTCCTGCCCTGAGAGCAGAATATAGTAGACTAAAAATAACAGCGATATGAAACTATTGAATACTCCTGCCCTGAGAGCAGAATATAGTAGACTAAAAATAACAGCGATATGAAACTATTGAATACTCCTGCCCTGAGAGCAGCTAGACGATGATTATTAGTTTTGTGCATTTTCAATGTTCCCCAATTATCTTAGTAAACATTAGAGGCTGTTTATGTGTGATTTTTAATAAAATATATCGTAAAATCTCTTACCTTGCAATAAATGCGATCTCCGACGAGTAGTCGATAACGTATCTCTGTAGATTCCCTCCAAATTTCCAAACGTCTTGACCCCGCCTCTGATCCAATTTCATTGGTTGAATCTTTCAACCAATCATTTTCCTTTCTGCCCTTAGAACAACTTTAAGTAAAACTCCCATGAGCTATGAGCTATAAATACATGCTGCTGAATATGTCATCAAACAACAAAACAGCTATAACAAAGATTAATCTAAATTTAATTCATACAGTGAACACTATGCAGTGTTATTTTACACTTAATTATTAAATTTCTGTACCTGAATACTATTGTTTATATTATCTATGCTTTTTTTTCATTTTCTTTCTTTTTTTTCAAGCACTGTTCACTTGCCTTTAATCATGTTTGAACTTTCTCAGACTATAGTTTTTGCTGTGGTATATGAAGAAGTACTTAAAGTGTATGGAAAGCAAAGTTACAATGATATAAAATTAGTGTCATTAATTTTTTTTTGTTTGTATGTTCACACTGATGTTAAAATGACATTTTCTGATTTGTGACATTACTTTTTAAGTAATGCTAAAACACTGCTGGTCATTTTCAGAAGTTGTAGGGATTCTTTCTTTTTTCAAGAAAGAATGTGAAACAAATTGGTTATATAATTTTCATTTTTAAATATTTTAAAATATAATTGAAATTGATTTTACACACTTTAAGCAATTTTGTATCGCATATCAAATATCGCATTTTTTAACCAGGTATAGGGCACTATTTGAGGGAACAGCCATTTTTAGTGGTGTCCGAAACCATAGTGGACGTTCTCGAGTGCACTCATTCAATCCCACAATGCACTGCAAAAACGAATGTACAACTGGTGCACGCTCAACGGCTAGAGAATGCCCATAATGC